TGTGTGTGTGTGTGTGTGTGAGAGAGAGAGAGAGAGAGAGAGAGAGAGAGAGAGAGAGAGAGAGAGAGAGAGAGAGAGAGAGAGGGTACTTCCATAGATAGGATGCGCAAAATCGAATGAATCTACCGCTAGAACATCGAAATATAAATCGAATAAATCTTCCACTAGAACATTGAAATATACACTACATGCGTGCTTACACGTGTGTGTGTGTGTGTGTGTGTGTGTGCGGAGATGTGTGTGTATAAACACACATGTATACGATATTCCCAACGTGACATAATCACGGACACCATCAGTGAAACCACTTCAAAGGTAAAACTGAAATAGTTTTGAGATTGGACGTGAAAGGTCGTCACACATAGCGCCAGACATCGCAAAGCCCACAAGGCAGAAAGAAAACCAACAGCACAAACCAAAGCAAATAGGTTGGAGGGCACGGGGGAGGCGGGTGGGCAGGCAACCAACACAAAACAGCAAAGCATATAGGTTGGAGGGCACGGGGGAGGCGGGTGGACAAGCAAACAACACAAAACAACAAAGCACACTGGGTGAAAGACATGGGGTAGACGGATGGGCAAGCAAACAGCGTAAAACAGCAAGGGAAACAACAACAAGACAAACGACGACAATGCAAGAACAGCACCCTGAAAAAAATACAAGTATAAACAAAGCAACGACTGAAAAAATAAAACTGATGATGAAAGATTGTTTCGTCTGAGTTGCACCGACTCATCAGGAGGCTGAACCCTCGACAATCTGCGGAATGCCCGTATTGATGGTTTGGGTCATGCACCCTTTGACCCTTGTTGAAGGCAGACTGTCCCCAAGTGGAACATAGCAGCGGGCAGCAACCCTGCAGAGCACCAGGCAACGCAGTAGAGGCAACACGGCTGCACAACGCCAAAGACGACTGCAAGAAGGCACGACCAGCGGACAGGCGGCAAGGCAGCGAAGCAGCGAAGCAGCGAACCAGCGAAGCGCAAGGCAACACCACAACCCGGCCAGACCACATAGCGAAGACAGCAGCATGCCAAGAACGACCTGCGAGGCAAGCGGAACGGGAAGCAAGGCAGTGGTGGAGCGCAGACGGGGTTGTCCACACATTCAACACGGAGCAAAGCAGCACATCACCTACTCACATCACGGGTGAACCCCACAGACTGTTGGTTCCCACCACCCACTGAGCCAGGGAAACACTCCGACGAGCATCCGTCATCGCCTACAGGCAACACAGACATCCCGAACCGAGCGGCCCCCTAAGAGTGCAGTTGGCACTCCAAACGAGGAACCACCGACTGTTTGGCACTACTTAAGGGTGCTCAGTTTGGGTAATCAAAACACTTAGAAAAAATTTAGGGGGAGGACAGACAACAACAGAAAAAACAGACAAACAGGCAACTGATTGTGTGTGTGTGTGTGTGTGTGTGTGTGTGTGTGAGCGCACAGAGAGAGAGAGAGAGAGAGAGAGAGAGAGAGAGAGAGAGAGAGAGAGAGAGATCATCCTATCAATGAAAGTGTATACTTCGATGTAGTAGTGTATATTTTGATATTCTGAGGACGAGAGAGCGCGCGCGCGCACGCGCGCGCGTGAGAGAGAGAGAGAGAGAGAGAGAGATTATACGAGTGCTGATACGTAGGAAAGAGAGGGAGAAGAAGGGACACAATGAGGGATGGCCGCTACGACGGACTGTGGCTGAGCGGGTGATGAGCAATTTGATACACATCCTTTAAAACGACTTTTCAAGTTGTTGTCAACAGGTACATGCACGATCTTTAGTTCTGAAACGACTTTTCCAGTTTTCAAGGCGTATTACATGTAAGATCTTACGTTGCAGAGTCGTCACTTCACAATCCCTACAATACAGCACAGTACTACCGGTAGGTAGCTACTCTCTTTCCCCCTGATCATGAATGTAGACAGCCCATTTTTCTGGTGCGATACAGTCATGATCGGGTTTTCTCTGCATTGTTTTCGGGGGAACACGGTACGTGATCATGAATGCAGACAAGCCATCTTTACGTTGCGATACAGTTATGATCGGGTTGCCACTGCGTGGTGTTCAGCGGAACACGACGTATTCGGGGGAACACAGTAGTTGTTCAGCTAAGAAATCATGCAAAGTCAGACAAGTTGCACATTCACTCCGAAGAAAGAGTCCTCATTCTCAAAAAACGCGCTCGAAAAATATGATCAAAAAGAGAAGTCTCGCAAAGTCCAATCTAAAACTTTACATTGAAGAAGAAGACACAGATCTTCCCAAGCATAAAGAGAAAGATCTTCCCAAACAGAACAGAAACAAACACACGCAACAGAAGAAATCTCCTTAGGAAGACCCAGAGTGTCTGATGGGCAGCGGAGGCACAGACAGAGAGAGAGAGAGAGAGAGAGAGAGAGAGAGAGAGAGAGAGAGAGAGAGAGAGAGAGAGAGAGAGTTCAGGGGGGAGTCAGATTGCT